CTCGCACACGGTGACGAGACTTTCGGTAGAACTACACGATGAAAGCGTGACATCCGAACACGGTGAACCGGACTCCCGGGGGCAATCGCAGGCACACTTACGCTAGTTACAAAAAAAAACATCCGTGCAAAGAAACGGTGCCAATAAACGTCACTCTCGCGAAAGCACACCCGTTGTCGTCGAACGGCACAAACGAAGTGACAGACGGAGCGGCTCGAAAACTTTGGTGACGAACCTGCTATTGCAATTTTTCAGTGTACCACATGGCAACACCACTACTACTGGATTGTACCACATGGCAACACTACTACCATAGAGGTAACTCTAAGACTAGTAGGTCCCGAAGAAAAGTGCTCAAGTTTTTGGCTCAGCTCTGGTACTATCTTCGGTCCCAAGCTAATCGATGCACCCCTCGAAACATAAGAAAATCCACGAACCCCTCATTTTATCTGTCAAACTTTCATGGTAAATCAAAACAAACATAGTGTAGTACTAGAATTTCGACAAGAATGGGATACGTTAATCGATTTGCTTGGGACCAATAGGCTAGTCAAGTAGTGAGTCAATTTAAAATCGATAGTTTCGTATTGATTGTTGCTACTACTGGATTGAACTAGCATTTTCATCAAATGTACTAGAATGTTTTGGTTCTATTTCTATCCTTTTCACTCTACTCAAAACTGAAATGCATAAAAAAATGAAAAAATTATACACTCTTTGCACACTGTCAAAGAATCATTGTACACAAAATCAACTTTGAGCAAAACCAAAACAAAAATACTATCCCATCTGGTGGATGATGGCACAAGCTTCTAAGAAAATTCTATTACAGCGAACCACATTATTTTAATTGATTTCTTCGTCAGTTAGTCGTCTGTTACTTGGTTTGTGGTGATACGGAATTTCCACAATAAACCGGGAATGCACGAATTTCACCACATCCAACTGCGAAACACGTTTAGGAGCACTTTTGGTACACTTTGGATCGAACACACTTAACTTTTTTTTTCAATAATAGTTGCGAGTGAACCAACATCATCACCGCGTAAATAAACTAAAATTAAAATTATCACTCGCGATGCCACAAATTTCTGGTCCGGGAGAAAAAATCAAACAACGCAGATAGCGTCAAATCTTCTGTTGCTTGCAAACATGATGAATCATGTTTTCTTTCTCGATTCTAAAACATCTCGGAAAGCGAGAAAACCACCAATCACACACGTATAACCGTCCGAGAGCAAGTCCGGGAGGCAGAGTGCCATCGCTAATCCGGCAAATGCAACCGAAAGTTATGAATGCGAACAAACGCACAAAATAGAGAACAAACTTAAAACACAACCGTATCCAAAGGCGTTCGAAACTGACGTGCAATTCCGGTAAAAGTTACGTGAAAAATAGGGTGGACGAAAACCACCTATGTTTTCACGTAAATCGGACGTGACGAATTTTCAAAGTGCAACACAGAGCTTTTTGACGTTTAATCGGCGCACACTACTGTATCATTTAAAGCGAACGAGTGCGAGCAAGAGGGAAACAGATTAGTGGGAAAACAAACCGTCCATTCATCCATGTGTGCTAGATAGAGAAAGATGATTAAACGTCAAAAAGGTCTACACGGAGAAGAAAAACTACTCAAAATTAAGTACTTTTTCCTCAATTCCGGGGTTCAGCCCAATAACCCAAATTTGAGTAAATCGCATATAGTAGTTTCCATTCAACACCAGCAAAAACATTAACTACTTTTAAGTATATTCTACCCAAAATTAAGTTTAATTTACGTAAATTTGAGAATATGCAATTTACTCAAAAGTAACTTATTGGGCTGAACTATATCGTTGGGTCGAATCTCTTGTTCCTTTTTTGACAACAATAACGAGTGCAAGTGAGAGGCTGAAGTCAATATTAAGTAAAAAGAACTCAAATTTTGGGTAGTATTTTTTCTCCGTGTATGGTGTAGTTAACCGTTCCAACCCGACGGCGGTGCCCCTTTCACCTAGGGTTACCATATGGTATCCTAAAGGAGGACATGTCCTCCTTTTTCAATAGTTTTTCTACATCCTCCTTTTGCCCGAAAATGTCATCCTTTTAAATCCTTGTATTTTTGCCAGTAACAGATTCATAAAATTGTTTTCAAAGACCGTTGTTTGCAGAGCTTATTTTTTTAATTATGTCGCAACCCCATCTTATCTAGCAAATGCCATTAGATGGTAGCGTAGGACTAAGCTCGGGACTAAAGCTGGGTTTAAACAGGGCAAGTCAATTGATCAAGTCAGTTGAATTCAACTGACTTGAACGCGAATTGAACGTGTAAACCATGCCATTCAACTGACTTGATCAACTCATTTGAATTGAAAAAAGTTAAACCAGGCTCAACTTTGCAAGCCAATTGAATTCAACTGAGTTGATCATTTGACTTGCCTAGTCTAAACCCAGCATAAGAGTGTACTACAGCTGTCAATCCCCCTACATTTAGGCTGTGTTCCATTTGGCGAATTTTCACTTAAACTTGACAGATGGAAAATTTCCAAATTAACCTGCTATTCCAGCAGACTTATATCTGACAGACAAGGAATCAATTTTGACACACACCTTCTCGAAAATTGGCCGATCAACAACAGAGGGATTTTCGAACATTATAATTTAGTTTCGAAGTGTCAAATTTAAGTGAAAATTCACCAAATGGACCACAGCCTTAGGCTGCGATCCATTTGGTGATTATTTTCGAAGTGTCAGTGAAAATTCATCAAATGGAACACAGTCATTACATTACATTTTTCTGAATGTTTACATAAATTTTATATTTCGAAAATAAATTATAATGTTCGAAAATCTGTCTGTTGTTGACCGTGTGATTTTCGAGGTGTTTGTCAAAATTGATTCCTAGACTGAAAATTTTCTATCTGTAAAATTTAAGCTAAAATTCATCAAAATTTAATGAATTCAACATGTGCTCGATTTTGACGTTCTGGTACTATGGTATTTTAGGTATTTTTTGTTTAGGCCGCTACCATACTAAGAGCGAAGAGGCACGCGAATCGTGAAATCGAATGTAAGGAATAATATCAATAATAGGAACTCTTTTGTATAGAACGCTAAGCGCGCCTCTTCGCTCCTACTATGGCAGCGGCCTTCACTTTTGTGCTGAATCAATTGTAAAATTAGCAGGTTGCTTAGATGTTCCATGAACATGGTAAACATTGGGATGATTCTAAGGCTGTAAAGCTGTAGTTTTCATGCAAATCAGCTAGACTAGATCATTAACAAGTATCAAAAATTTATTATGAAGGCTAGTTTGATACATTTTTCAAAAGTATAACGAGAAGATGAATTGAATTGGTAAATACTACAATTTATGAACAATCTCAATTGAACCTTAGCAAATCATGAATTTTGTGATAGCGCACATATTATTAAAACGATTGATAAAAACTCAGTGTCCTCCTTTAATGTTAAGAATGGGAATCATTGTCCTCCTTAATCTCCAAGCTTCAAATGAAATGTCCTCCTTTTCAAGTTTTTAATATAGTAACCCTACTTTCACCAGAACAAGCCGCGATGACTGACGATGAAGCTACCAAAAAGCACTTATGCCTTCACTAAATTCTACTCGATTTTCGTTATTTCTATTTGGTCTTTACGTAAGAAGAGAACAGTATTTATAAAGCCTTCATGTTTGTCGTTGATTTTTGATAATAAATTTCAATATTTTTCGATAGCGTCTTATAAATCTAATGGTGTGGAGTCAGTTGATCTAAAACTGAACTTTTCGGAACATGCTTTCCGGAATTCCGAATTATGTTTCAAATAACTGTCCGAACAATAAATCTCGCACGATTGAGGTCATTTCGCCGGGAACAAATGAAAATCAAGAACAATGGTGAAATCATTCATTTACACGAATGTTTTTCAACTGGAAGAAACTCACCATTATATGGGGTTTTACCAACAATCAATACGAAACTAACGATTTTAAATTGGCTCACCACTTTAGTAGCCTATTGGTCCCAAGCAAACGATTAACGTACCCTATTCTAGTTGAAATTCTATTACTACACTATGTTTGTTTTGATTCGCTATGAAAGTTTGACAGATAACATCAGGGGTGTGTGGATTCATGCAGAACATGCAGGGGTGAGTGAAATAGCTTGGGACTGCTTGGGACCGTTGTTCTGGTACTGAGTGAGCCAAAATAATAATGATTTTCTTCGGGACCCAGTGGTCTTAGAGTTACCTCTATGGTTTTACCCAGTTAAATTGGCTTTTCCCCATCACATTCATTAAGATGACAGAAAGTCAGATAAATAATGATGATAAATAAATGCCGAATAATGATCCCAAAATGCGCCACCGTTGAACTCACTTGATTCAGAAATGGTAGAAAATGATCCGGAACCCGTCCAACATATACAAAATGTATAAATTGTGCATAATCAGGACTGGTAGTGGGTACGTAATATAATAGTAGTGACTTTAGTGACTAAAATAACGAAAATAGTGACCAAATAGACCAATAAAAGCGTGACTAATAGTGACATGTATTGATAAAAAAATGGTATTCCATTTATTGCGATCCACCCGAGAAATTTTCTTAACTCACAATCACAACCCATTATTAGTATTTTTAATGCAGATTTTTAAGGAAAACAAATAATAATTTCAGAATGCCATAAATTTGGTCATAAAAAATTATTATTGGCATAATTATTATTAGGTAATCTTCAATAATTTTATTAATTCAATAAGCAAGTGCATTGCCCATTGGCGAAAAATCCAGGCACAGAAAAAAGGGAGACAAATTAGGATGTTTGGAAATATTTGATGATATTTTCAAATATATCTAAATTGTCATGCCCCTTGGAATACACCCTTTAGTAGAATTTCCCAATACTTTCCTGTCAAAAAATGTAATACATTGATTTCAACTGCAACTTTAATGTCTTCCTGAATTATATGAGCACAATTTGTTAGACCTATTAAACATATTTTATATCTCTTTCCAGAGTCATTCCACCGCACCAAGCCGAAGTAAAAGGCAAACCTGCAAAGTTTGTGGCAAAACATTATCTTCCCCCAGCAGCTATTACGTGCACATGAAACTACACTCGGGAACAAAACCATTTGCTTGTACCGTAAGTTGTAAAATGAACATTTCGACATTGAGCATGCATAAGGACGTATACGCTATGATCGATTATCTTCATCGATTTTCTCTTTGCTAAGCATTTCTAGAATTTATTCAATGCAGAGTTGTAACAGGTTGTATTGGCTATCAAAACCGTTCATTCTAGCGAGTTATTAACAAAAGAGAAAATCGACGCAGAGAATCGAAGTATTACGCCCTTATGCATGTGTTTACTTTTACTAGAGCAACCATTGCAATGATAGAGTTAAATAATGCGGCAATATCCAGCCGTTATGTATAGAAAAGATACGAAATAAATTAACTTTATGTTTTAATTTCAGGTATGCGATGCTGCATTTTGTAGAAAACCTTATCTTGAAGTTCATATGCGGACACATACAGGTAATATGATCGTATCTGTTTAATTTGTGTTGATCTTACTTATTTATTAATGCAAATTATTGCAGGAGAACGGCCATTTTCTTGTGATGTATGCCTGAAACGGTTTAGTCAAAAATCTTCGTTGAATACACACAAGAAAATTCACATGAGTAAGTAGTCTATTTTCATCTACGTAGTTTTCGCATTCAATTTTATTGTAAATAATAAAAGTTCATCAACGCTTGTGTTAGCATTTTGATTTTTATGACTTATTTAATGATTTGTAGCAAAACATTTAAAGTTTATTATGTACATAGTGCAACGATTCAACAGTATTGTAAAGAGCTAAGATTGGTCGTCCAAACAAATTTAAAAATTAGTTTGAAATGTTTATGTTATTTAAAACATACATGAACCGGAATTTCATTTGACTAAATGTATATTTTTGGTACATTTCACATCGTTGAAAGCATTGATCTCCACGAAGTCAAGCTACCGAGATTAAATCCAATAACTCACATTATTAACAACAAAAGTTCCCTTTAAGTTACGGCTGATCAATGGTGACAAGCAACTAATATAGTTTCTCTCGTATTCTTTCTGTTTCGACTATTGTTCCAGGATATTGGAGCATTCATAAACCGTTCCAGTGTAATCAGTGTAGTGCATCTTTTGGCCGAAAACCGTATTTAGAAATCCATCTTCGAACCCACTCCGGTGAACGTCCTTTCGCTTGCGACAGAGAAGGTTGCGATAAAAGGTGCTATGCCTATTATAGCTCAAGCATTGCAGAACATGTCAAATGAAATTTTCATCTCTTGTTTATAGGTTTTCACAGAAATCGACTTTAAACATTCACAAGCGTGTTCATGACCGTTAGTATATTTTCCTACTTTTTGAATCTTAATCCTTTAGTATCTTCGCATGGCCTAATACTCATTTTCTACGTACAGAGTTGCTTGTCGCCATTTATTAGCATAGTTTATCAATATGTTTTCAAGTAAATGGTCAAATCACTTATACATATAGCACAGTGCTAAGTGCTACAGCATTTTCGCTGACCAATACTATACACATAAGCTCTGGTTATATATTTTTTAGTTTAATATCGATGATTGATTTATATTGGAGCTACCTGTTCAATATATTTGCCAATTAATGTACACTTTTTAATCCATAGCGAACCATCGACCTTTTACATGTGAACATTGTCCAGCAACGTTTTGTCGGAAACCTTACCTTGATATTCACATACGATCACACACAGGTAAGCAAATCTGTTCTGACCTTAATTTTCATGAATTTCTCTACCCCATAAAAAATCCTCCCGATTTTCCCCAAGATTTAGTTGGTCTGCGTCGGTATGATCGACCTATTTTGGTTTGTACGAAGTTGACCGGTTGCATTGACGTATATGGGATTTTACAAGGAGAGTCTGCTGATAAAACTGTTAACAAAATCGACAGATGCAATCGACGTAATTTATCGACTAAAAGCTACTAAGGCTGTGAACCATTTGCCGAGTTAAATTTAACTCGTAGTTAAAAGTGACATTTCGCAAGTTATTTCTTATGTTCGAAAATCCCCGTGCTGTCGATCGACCGGTTTTCGAGCCACGGTCGTCAAAATTTAACTTCTTGTCTGTCAGAAATAACCACGCTCGGATAGCAGGGTTAATCGATAACTTTCCATCTGTCAAATTTTAACCAAAAGTTAAAATAATCCACCAAATGGTTCAGAGCCTAAATAGGCCGATTGGTTGGTGCACCAGTAAACTTTCGTAGAACCGACATCACTGACTTCCATCTGTTTTGTTTTTATTCAACATAGCTGACGCATTGACAGAACGAGGGAAAAGCAACTAGTGAAAAAATTACATGCTCTGGTTGCTAAGCAATGCTTCGGAATGTGCATGATAGAGGGTGCTAGCAACCGGTGGAAACTAACGATTTAAAATTGGCTCATTACTTGACTAGCCTATTGGTCCCAAGCAAATCGATTAACGTACCCCATTCTAGCCGAAATTCTAGTACTACACAATGTTTGTTTTGATTCGCTATGAAAGTTTGACCGATAAAATGAGGGGTTAGTGGATTTTCCTATGTTTCGAGGGGTGAATCGATTAGCTTGGGATCGAAAATAGTACAAGAGCTGAGCCAAAAAGTTAGAGGTTATTGGATTTTCCTATGTTTCGAGGGGTGAATCGATTAGCTTGGGACCGAAGATAGTACCAGAGCTGATCCGAAAAGTTGAGCACGTTTCTTCGGGACCTACTAGTCTTAGAGTTACCTCTATGGTTGAACGTACCCCATTCTAGTCAAAATTCTAGTACTACACTATGTTTGTTTTGATTCGCTATGAAATTTTGACCGATAAAATGAGGGGTTAGTGGATTTTCCTATGTTTCGAGGGGTGAATCGATTAGCTTGGGATCGAAAATAGTACAAGAGCTGAGCCAAAAAGTTAAGCACGTTTCTTCGGGACCTACTAGTCTTCAAGTTACCTCTATTGTCCTATCCCTTGAAAAAATATCACATTTAGTCTCGGAGACCTCTCGATTAGGAAATTTTCAATTATTTTAGTCATCCATCAGGTCATGACAATTCTTACTATTTTTAGCATACTTTACCATCCATCAGGTCATGGTAATTATTTTTCAAAATTTCTTCAAGTTACTTTTCCATCCAATTATTTTGCCTCAGAGTCCTGATTATAAATCAATCATAAATGCATATTTCCAAATATTACTAAATACGCGCCAGATTTCGCAACATCACTTTTCGAAATCTGGAGGTGTGTTTGCAGTACCATTATTCATAAGATAACGGTAGTGTTTACTTGCGGGGCTTATTGTATGTGAAAGTAAACTCGGAGTGGACGTGAAATGGGTTGCTGAATCTGCAGTAGAGCTATCACTTTCTAACTCCCGGACTAAACTTGCTTTAAATTATTACATCAAGGATTGTTGTATGCAAATTTCTTCCATAATGATTGAGTATGACGAGCACCTCGCTAATACACCTTACTACAAAAGGGAACTACGGAGAAAATGCATTTGAGCCACCTTTGTTGCTATGCAGCTTGAGTGCTATTTTTTCCTTTTTTTTTGCACACTGTACTTATGAATAAAAATAAACACATTTCGCTTGAGTTCCGTCGCATCTATATTTATGGGGTGTTTACACTTATGCTATTTCACTAGCGCTAATGAGCTAGCTGCTAGCAAAAAAGCTCACTAGCATAATGTAAACAGGGCATCAGCGTCTACCAACATGAGATTTCAGGAGCAACTGATATTCGTACTAGTTCTTTCTTCTTTCCTTTATTTAACGTCGGTCTCTGTTCCGCAATCTAGTGCCAATCACCGACGGACATCGATTGCCATCCATTGACGGCAATCGAATGAGCAGGAAGGCAGCTTCCACGCCTGCGTAGGATATCGCACCCATTCAACAACACACATTGGCCGCGACCAACGGCTTTACTTCCCTTCCGAAGGAAGACGTGACCAGAGATTTTTATGCCTCAGAAAAATCCCACCGACCTCGGCTGGGATTGAACCCAGACCCATCGGGGTGTTTGAAAGCAGTCACGCTTACCACTACACCACCGGCGCCGGCGTATTCGTGCTAGTTGGCGAGTACACTGAAGTGTTTTGGTGGAGTTCTGGTATTCCGGGAAGTTTCTGTGTATGCTTTCTGAAGAGATTTGTTGCGGCACGATACCTAGTGCGGAAGTGAAAAGACAATATGACCGACGGCTGGAAAGCATCGTTTGCTAACCTCGGCAGTGGAAATTATGCCTCTTGGAAGTTCGGTATGCGATCTTTGCTGGAACGTGAGGATTTCTGGGATACGATCGATCAACCGAAACCGGGAGAGATCGATTAAGAATTTCCGCAGTGGAAGAAAAACGATATCAAAGCGCAAGCGACCACTCTATTCGTCGAGGACAGTCAACTCCGCTTTGTAAAGAAATGTGAAACGGCTCACCAGATGTGGGAAAATTTGCGAGTGTACCATGAGAAAGCCACCATCGGTAACCAGGCAATATTGTTGCAGCAGTTATGCTCAAATAATTGGTGCGAGGGCAGTGATGTCGAGAAACATCTCGAAGAAATTGAGTGTATATATGAGCGCTTCGACAATGCAGAGGTGTAACTCGGTGAGCTGTTGTGGCAAAATAAAATGATGTTGCGCAGTCTCCAGCCATCGTATAGTAGTTTTGTAACGTCGTTGGAGAATTGGCCGCAAGATGATCTCATGATGGATCTACTGGTAGCTCGATTGCGTGACGAGGAGCAAAAGCGGGTGGGTCACAGTGGACGTGGTGACAACAGTGAGAAAGCACTGCGGGTTTCCGATAAAGAAAAACGTGAAAAGAAGTGTTTTTATTGTTCGAAACCAGGACATTTTCAGAGAAACTGCCGTAAATTTCTCGCGGAGAAAGATGGTGAAAATGGAAGTGAAAATCGTAAACCGACAGGATCCAACCTGGCTGCTAACCAGAAAGTAAAACAAGCCCAAGCGGAGGGCGGCGGTGGTGATCGTTCGTAGCTAGCGTTAGTGGGTAATGTTGGCTGTGGAGTCGTGTGCTTTATGGTCGGTGACGTTATTCCTGGAGCGTGGACGATCAATAGTGGCTGCACATGCCACATGACCAACAACCGCGAATTTTTCATGGAGTTCAAACGTGGAGCCCTCGTGAATGTGACCCTGGCGGATGGAACGACAACAAAATCGACCGGAGTAGGAAGTGACGTAGTTATGGGCGTGAATACCAAGGGTGAACGCATTGCAGTTACTCTCGAGAACGTGTTGTTGGTTCCCTCGCCTCACACACGGACAGAAAATTGTATGCATTGAACCAAAAAAAAACTTTAGTTTTATTTAAACAAACAATTCCGGTTGAAATTATATTGCATTTTGATGTTTCAATAATACTGATTCATATAAATTCAAAATTGGATTCTTTTTGTTTCAATAAGCCACTTTTCAACTGCAACTATTGTAAAAATAACAATGTTCTATTATTAAGCCAACAATAGTAAATTTTAATTTGATCAGTTTTTCGCATATTTTTTAACTGTACCAAATCAAACAAATATTAGTTTTCACGTGTGGATAAGTGTAAATTAAGATCTATCACGTCTTAAGAAGTTTTTTTTAGTGATATTGTAATTAACGTGAAAAATCTGGGACAAGAATTTGTTTCGAATAGCTGTGTTGCTGTGGTGTCGCGTCGGATTTTCATTTCGCTTGTTTTTGGTGCTTTGCCTCCCTCCACAGAAGAGTTTTACCAGAGAGGTAACTCTAAGACAAGTAGGTCCCGAAGAAACGTGCTCAACTTTTTGGCTCACCTCTGGTACTATCTTCGGTCCCAAGCTTGTCGAATCACCCCTCGAAACATAGGTAAAACCAATAACCCCTCATTTTATTTGTCAAACTTTCATAGCGAATCAAAATAAACATTGCGTAGTACTAGAATTTCGACTAGAATAGGGTACGTTAATCGTTTGCTTGGGACCAATAGGCTACTAAAGTGGTGAGCCAATTTAAAATCGTTAGTTTCGTATTGATTGTTGGTTTTACCATAGAGGTAACTCTAAGACCACTGGGTCCCGAAGAAAATCATTATTATTTTTGGCTCACTCAGTACCAGAATAACGGTCCCAAGCAGTCCCAAGCTATTTCACTCACCCCTGCATGTTCTGCATGAATCCACACACCCCTGATGTTATCTGTCAAACTTTCATAGCGAATCAAAACAAACATAGTGTAGTAATAGAATTTCAACTAGAATAGGGTACGTTAATCGTTTGCTTGGGACCAATAGGCTACTAAAGTGGTGAGCCAATTTAAAATCGTTAGTTTCGTATTGATTGTTGGTTTTACCGGGTATTTTTTTTTTCTTTTCTTGGTACTGGCGTGCTGGCGTTCTGCCTACCGGAGGATGCACGCGAATAAGGTGTCAAGCAAAAATTCGGTGCAAATGAAAAACTTCGAATGTGATTCAAAATGTCGTGTTGGGTTGTAAAAACAACGCGGAAGATTTTTTCGATTACCGCGAGTGAACAAACCGGTCCTTTTTCGGAGGCAGAATTTGGTGAAATCCATCTGATTTATAATAAATCATAAATGCATATTTCCATATATTACTAAATACGCACCAGATTTCGAAACATCACATTTCGAAATCTGGAAGTGTGTTTGCAGTACCATTATTCATATGATAACGGTAGTGTTTACATGCGGGGCTTATTGTATG